AATGGAATGGGGGAGGAATATACGTATTGGAACCTGACGAGCTGTTGGAGTGTGAGCGGGGGTAATATTTAGTGAAGGGATTCAGGGAAACCAGTTATTTTCATATAGCCGGGCTGGAGTCCTGGAGATGGTAGTTTGAAGGGATATGTTGTTTTATTTTATACGTTTTATGCTTCTAATTGTTGTATTCTGAGCACCTCTGCAAAAACAGTGATTATGTATGAGTGAGGTGAAAGCATTTCTTTTGGGGATTTTCTTTCTTTTTGGGTCACCCTGCCTCGGTGGGAGGCGCCGACTTGTTGAAAAAAAAAAAATTATATTTTCTTCATTCGAGTCTCCCATTATACACCTAAATCATATTCTCCTAATTCTGCTAAGTCTTTCCAGAGTGATAAATCCAGTGCCCTCAGCCTATCCTCATACAAAAGATTTCTGACACGTGGAATCAACTTTCTCCTTATAAAAAATTATTTAAAAAAACCGATAAGTACTTATTTTCAAGACTGATGTCCTGAACACATCAACTCCAGACTAAGGGACTGATTACCTAAAGTTACTCATCTCTGTATTGGACTGAAGCCAATAGCTAGCTAAACATTTATAGAATTTAAGAAAACCCAAATGTTGCACGTGTCATTTATGTTTTTTCTTCCATCCATACTAAGAATCTTTTGTCTCTCTTGATTACAGAGGATGATTCTCTCATATTTTCTCCTACAATAGCTAATGAAGCGTGTTGGGTATTAAGGTAATAAAAAGTATAGTGAACGTTGGTGTATTGTCTTTGACGAAGACAACTGTGTTTGTGGGCCAACATTACATCCAGCAAAATCAGGAATTTAGTAACTAATTTTATGAGTGATGATAAATAAGACACTTGTGCAACATTTGAGTATTTTTATTCTGAAAACATTTTGCTTGCCAGTGGCTAGCAAAACGTTGGAAGATGAGGAGTTTGAGGTAATTCAGCCTCTCAGTCTGAAGTCTCTTCAGTACATCAAACTTGATACGAGTGACTAGGGCTGGGTTTGATTAGTACCTGATGTAATGAAGCAAATTCTTGGGTAGCCCTGGGAAAAGGTTAGACAAATAGGTGGGTGGGAATGTTTGGTTCTGAGAAAGACATGGCCAGTATGGGCCAGCAGGCTAACTAGCCCTAGTGCTGGCATCTATAACCTCCCACACGAGAGGTGCAAAAGACTCCAAAGACTTAGATACTTGGGGAAACACATCAGGGAAAACAAGTACACATAATGAGGAAATAAGACATTATCAAGGGTAAGGAGGAGCTTGAATGCAAGGTTCTTTGCAGTGCAGACCAAATATGACTTCAGGAATAAAATGATGATTGAACCAGTCCTCAATAATTCCTCTGTCATCCATGCTGACTGGTCTGACCACCAGTTAACAGGCAAAGTGATTTTGTTTTTCTGTTTTTTAAGCACGGGGGGGTTCAATGAGCGATAAACAGGTATGGGTCTGCACTTAGTCACCTGTTACATTTGCGCAAAGCAGCAAATAAAAAGAGGTTCAGGGCAATGAAGGAAACTGGCCCACTTCAGCCATGGTGAAGGCTGGCCAAGTCAGAAAACAAGTAGAAATAGGTAGAGCCTATGTGAAAGGTAGCAAACCCTTTAGCACAAAAGTGGAAACAGATACAAAAAGAATCATGAAGAAGGAAATGTAGACAAAATGAAAATGTGGTCTTCTCACTCACTCACTCTTGCACAGCAATATCATGTACCATTATACTGTATTTTACAAATATAATTGGAGATACTTGCCATGCAACATGTCTCAAAGAGAAACTTTTTTTAAAATTTTAATAATTTAAACAAATTCAAACATTTTTTTAAATCATTTTGTTTTACCCAAAACAAAAATTCCTCCAATTTTCCATGAAGCTTGACATCCTCATTCTGACTTTAAATTTGGTGGTATCAGATTTTTTAAGCAGAGTAGTTTTTTTTTCATAAAGCACAATGTTTCATACTGTGGGAAAAAATATTTTCCCGAACCGTGATCTTTAAAGATGGCCAAAATTATTTTTTCTTTTAAAACTGACTCATGTGTAAATAAAGTATTTTCTGTTGTGCAAAGAGGAAACTTTTTTTTGGGAAAAAAAAAAAAAAAACTAAAGGCATGTCTCATGAGTGCAAAAATCTTGGAAGAAAGCAATGGACACTGATAAAGAGGTAAACCACTGATGGAGGAATATATTGATGTTTTTAATCTGAGGATAAAGATAAAAAAGGATGACCAAGGGAAAAAAAATTTTAAATTTTCGGGGCCTCATTTAGAACTATGTCACTGAGGCGAGGGTCCTCCAAGTTTTACATCATTACTCATCTCCTCACATAAGCTGTGAGGGGAAATTTTTTGGCCCAGATATAAGAAGGGGGTCTGCACAATGAGTTTTTTCATGTAAAAAAAAATAAAAGGCATCCCAAAATAGGATAGGATGGGAAAAACAAAACTTGACCATGAGTTGGTGTAAATGCAAATTTAGGTGTTTTTTTTGGATGATTTCCAGTTTTATTGCCTTCCCTTTGGTTCATTTGATGAAACAGAAGACATACTACGAAACAGTGTGATTTTGACTGGTTTCAGGACAGAAGTAACCTGAAATTGGGCTTAAAAGTAGCAAAAAATTCAATTTTTTCCAATTTTTCCGAGTGGGTGGGGCCCCTAACCCTGGTCTATTAAATGGATTTTTAATAGGTTGATTTAATTACTGGGTTGCTTAAAAAATGACCCAAAATTCCTGGTTTTTTTTCATTTTCTGGGAAACTGAGTAAAATTTTTTATTTTTGGTGTAATTCAAAAAGGAAGGCAAAGGAGATGGATTTGAGGAGAAAAAGTGTTAGTGCCAGGAATGTCTCATTGTTCATTTTTCACTATTTTTTAAAAGTGTTTAAAATGGCCAAATTACCCCCTTCTGTACACTTTATAGGGGAGTTGTAATAGTTTAAATGGGCGGTTTTTTCTGCCCCCAAACAAAGAATGGAAGGCATACCCGTGAAATAGCAAAATTTTGGGAAAGGGCTATTTTAATCAGACTTAAAATAGAAATCAAAGCAGCGAAATCATGGTGTAAATTGTACCCAGACCACTTCACACCTGTGTAATTCCGTAGTTTTCCATCAAATTTCGTACTTTTGGCATTCATTACCTTCAGAAAAGGATTCTCTACCATTTCAGAAAAAATGGTAGAGAATTAGTACTGCTCCCAGTGGACGCTGAGAGCAATATTAATTTCAGGGTCTGGACAGTGGAAGGGTTAAAAGCTGTGTCCATAGTGAATGTTTAAGTTTGTATGGGCACTTTAATTATTGATTTTGAGTGAAAAAATGTCATACCAGTATAACAAAATTACCGTATGCCAATTTATAGGATACAAGATATCCTGATCAAAACAGAAGCAAAAATGTACTAAAGAAAGTAGCTCAAAAGTGTTGGCTAGGTTTTCCCATTATAGAAGAACTCAGTTTTCTCTCCACTCTAGTGGGTTTCCTTCTTTTGGCAATAATATCAGTGCCACATATTTTTTCTATTTCTATTTTCATGTTTGTGATCTAACAGTGGCATCCACACAAGATATTTCAGCAGAGACCTGTTATGTAAGCTTAACCTCAAACTAGATGTAATTTTCCTAACTTACCCCAACGTAACATTTGAAAGCAGAGTTAAGGATAAGGGGGTAAGTAAATAAAAATATAATATATATATTTAATCTACATCCTGTACATTCTCTAAATATTTCTCTGAAAACTGGCTCCCTGTTTTGGTCCTAGGGTGCAAGATTGAGGGTATATACCCATACCATCACTTATTCTCACACATACATCCTCAGTGCTTGTGGCCCACTTGTCTTGGTACAATATACTTGTACCTTCTTCTCAACCCACACCAGTTTTACTACTCATTTCAATGCTCTGTAATTTTTTCATTGTCCCCACCTCACCATCGTGTACTACAGCATTTTTCCCCTTGTATACCTAAATTATTCTCCAATATACTAAATTATTTTGATCTTACTAAAAGCCAAAACACTATTATAAAGTCAAAAAAGTTAAAATGTCTTACATGTTTCTTCTTCTTCTTTGAAGGAGATTCATCACCACTGTCTTCTTTTTGACCAGACAGAGCATCTCCTTCCCGTGGTGACCATGTTCATTCTTAGCCATTGACAAGTCAATGCCTGATGTTTGAGTCATATCATCATCATCTTGAGGTTCAACTTCATGTTGTGAGGTATGCAGTACAGGTTGTGTATGAGAAATAGGTGGTCCATCTCCTGGCAGGTGTTGTGTGTCTCTGGTTCTCTACTGTCACATGCACTGCTTTCAACTTCATTTGTGTGCTCTCTGTATCTGTGATTCTGGTATCTACTTGGTTTTCCACAGTAAAACTGGTCCTCAGGTGATTTGGTACTACCTCTTGGGTTATCCGTGCAAGGCACATTTAGTGGAGATGTTTTAGAGTTAGTATTTGGAGAGGCAGCAGTACCCATAAATTTTTTTATAGATATATTGGATCGTATTCTTGATAAACCTTTCACCTCTAACATATCTGCTACTTCCAATACTCTCTCCATGAGGCTATGATCCACCTGCAAAACAAAAATTTAAATACATATAGTATATACTATTATATACACTGCACATTTATACATATGCAGTAAAACATATACAGTCATGTACATTAGTAGTATACATTAGTAATGAACATTTTAACCCTTTGACTGTTTCTGACGCATATACACCTACCATCCGACTTACGACTGAGTTCAGTTCCGAGAAACCGGTCATAAGTCGAAATGGTCGTAAGTCGAACTTTACTACTGAATATCAACATAACATTTTTGTAATGACTTTATTTTATTGTTTTATTTTGGTATTTCATGTTTTACTTTACTTTTTATCCTGTTAGTACTGTATTTTATACTGTAAGGCTTAGGATAAACACTGTGTACAACACAAATAGTTGTTTATTTCCCAGAAAATTTGGCATAAAAAACACGGTCCTTAGTCGAGGTGATCATAAGTCGAGCAGGTTGTAAGTCGGATGGCAGGTGTATATGTCTTACGAGCCAGTGTTTTTGGCATATTTATACTCCAAAATCCTAGTGGCTTCAAATCAAGTGAGAGAAAGCTGGTAAGCCCACATGTGAAAGAATGGTTTGTGTGGTCAGGATGCACAGTATAAAAAAAATCCTGCAGCATGCAGTGCATAACTAGAAAAAACTTCAACCGTGTTTTTGGATTAAAATGCTGACTTTGAGGTGTATTTTCGTATAGTATTTATGGTTGTATTCTCGTTTTCTTGGTCTCATATATATAAATGGGAAGACATGTTACAGAAAGAGAGAAGATTTAGATTGGTTTCATGATGAAAAGGACCTTGAAATTGAGCTCAAAGTAGCGGAAATGTTTGATTTTTGCCGATGTTCAAGAGTAAACAAATGACATCACTGTCCAATAAGTGCCCAACTAGCCATTTCTAATATGCAGTCATGAATGGGTTGACATCATTTATACAATTATTACAATAATGCAGTAGTCTGCATAACAGAAAAATCTATTTTTTTTGTGAATAAAAATTAAAAAACAGAAAGCAAGAGTAATATAAGGGGGGCCCTGGGACGTGACTGATGAACAGAGAAAATGTTATTTTAGTGCCAGGAATGTCTGCAATGTTCATTCTGGCCCCCTATTCTGAAATTGGCATCTTTTTAATTTGCATGAAATTGCCCAAATTCCAATATCTGCCCACTTTATTGGGTAGTTGAAATCAGTAAATGGGCAGTTTCTTGTACTCAATCAATGGGAACAAATGGAGTTCTAAAGAAACAGCTACAAGTTTGGGGACTGGAACAATGGAATTGGGGCCGAAAATAGGGATCAAAGTAGGTAAATTGCTGATGCGGTAAATATCGCCGAGATTTGCTAACTTCTCAAGAGGAAAACTCCGTAAGTTTTCCATCAAATTTCATACTTTTTTAACCCATTACCACCAGGAAAAGATTTCTATCATTTCATAATTTTTTTTTTTTTTAAATTCTTTAACACAGAGCAAGTTTGTGAGCAGGGGTCTCGACAGTCAAGGGTTAATGCTATTTTCAAATCCTTTCAGTTTATATCAATTGATTCCCAAAGTGGGGTGGTACTGTCCCCCCGGGGAGCACTGGAAAGGCCGGGGGGACGCAAGCAGTGTGGTATCAGAACCAAGGGGCATTTGCTTTATAAATCTATATGCAAAAAGCTAAGTCAAGAACACTTAAGTAACTTTAAGTGTTTTATAAGAATTAAAATTAACAGAGTTATACACAATGTTTCATTTTATTTTGTTGGCCGAAGTTGGAGTTAAAAGTCTGAAAGTTGTTGAACAGTTAAATTCTTCCACTTTTCTGTCCGGGTTACAGTTATTCAAACGTAACATTGATGACCTTCAAGTGTACGTATTGTGTACACCTGAATGAGCTGCTAAGAGACATATCTAGCAGATTTCAGGATCTTGTTTTCTTTAAAATAGTACTAGACTGGGTGATCAGTCTAATCCTAGATACCAGCAATGAGGAAATAGGAATAAATAACAAACAATGGCACAAAAACCATGACTGAAAGAATACCCAAAAAACCTGCACAGAGAAGAGAGGAGCTTACAACTTTGTAAATGGGTCCAAGTCGGACTGAAACGCTGTTGTAAGCTCCTCTCTTCTATGTGCGGGTTATTTGTGTATAGGAAATAGGAATGGAGGATGAAGAAACTGATTTCACTCCAAAATGACACTGAGCTGAGGTCAAAGTTCCAAAAATCATATAAAATTGTTGGTTACACAAAAACATTTCTGACTGTTCCGTGCACTGTGGAACGAAGTCAAGATGTACTTTATTGCCTTCCCAACATCATATTTAGTAGAGAGAGGCTTCAGTGCAGTTGTCAAGCTTCTTTCCAAGCAAAAAAATAAACTAAAAATTTTAAAGGACACAGGGACTAAGACTTTCTTCTTAGAACCCTCAAGCATATCCATCTCATTAAAATTGTATAGACAATGTAGTTAGAGATGAGATGTAACTCTACCCTTTTATATTGTTAAAAGAATTGGGTTTACTATGTTAATATTTATTTGTGAAATCAATAACTTGTTTTTCATGTTTAGATTAGTTGTTTTGAAAATTTTCAGTAAACTTAATACCAAGAGAGAGGCTTTTGGGGGTGCTAGGGGTGTGGCCTTTGGGGGCCTAGGGGGTGGCAGCCTAAAAAGTTTGGGAACCACTGGTTTAAATCAACAATAGCCATTGTGCAATATCATCCATTCACTATTTTTCATTGGTAAAGCTGATCTTCAAAATGATTAATATATTTTTTTTTTTCCAAAAAGCTATTCTAGGAATGAGAAAATAAAATGACAATGTTGCTATTGCAATATACATTGGTCCTCGAGTTGATTGTCTTGAATTATAATAATTTTGAGTTACAATTTACCCCAAGGAATTTAGTTTTGAGATGCAATAAAAAAATTTGAGAAGGACATGGTACGATGGTTGGCAAGCATGGGTGGGCCTCAGCCCAGAGAAAAGGGACAAAAATGATGAAAAGTTCTTAAAATAGACTGATGGTAGAGGATGATTAGAGGAGACGGGATGGAGGGGGAGGGGGTTGGAGTAAGTGTGGTGGTGGGAGTAAGAGAGGATGGAAGAAAGGAAGGCAAGGAGGGGGGGAAAGAGTGTTATATGCCAGACACTGGCAGTGGGAGGCTGCAAACAACAAGCGTAAATATTGTGACAATGTAAATATGTTATTGCAATAACAAGAGTAAATACTAAGCCAACAATTTTTTCCCAAAATCTCTGCCTGCCTGCTTCCCCAAACCCCTGTCCTGTCCTGTTGCTCTGGCCTAGCCTGGCCTACCCTGCACTGACTGCCTGCTTGCCTGCTTAAATGGAGTAATGGTAGTGGAAGATATGGGGAGTGGTGGGAATGAGGGAAGAGTAGAAGGGAGTAAGATTGGTCGTGTATCAGATGTAGGTAGTGTAAACATTAAATCTACAATTCTTGACCAATCTCTGCCTGGGCCGCTTGACTAAACCTGTTCTGTCCTGCCTGCTCTGCCCTGGCCTAGCTTGGCCTGGCCCGCCCCGCCTGCTCTAGCCTGTCCTGCCCAGCCTGCTCTAGCCTTTTCCTGCCCAGCCTGCTCCAGCCCTTGTCCTGCAAAGCCTGCTTGGCCTGTCCTGCTGGCCTGCCAGCCTGCCCCAAAACCTGTCCTGCCCAGCCTGCTCTGGCCTGTCCTGCCTGACCGTCTTGTCCTGTCATACCTGCCTGCTGGGGTTTGGGCTGCCTGCCTTCCCCTGGTCTGGTCTGCCCTACCTTGCCAGCTTGACCTTCCTTTCCTTCCCTAGCATTCCCTGTCCCCTTTGCCCTGTCCTGTCACTTTGCCTGGACATAAGCCTATGAAACATAGGCTTACTCTGCTGCTGGGTGTCAATTACTCTGGATTTCAAGCCGAACCCAATGCTTGTTTAGTATTCAGAAAACTCTAGTGCTTAAACAGAAAAAAGTACACAAGGGCAAAGTGGGTACTCTGGCACCTTTGAACGAATTTACAATAATACCATGTATTTTAGGGCTTGAGTTATAATAGCTTTTAGGCACAATGTCTTCTGGAACAGATTAATATCATAGCTCATTTGACCAGCGTCTTACTAAAATCTCTTACATTTAGATACTCTATGGGTAAAATCACTTTTTACAAAATAATTAATAAAAAAGTCATGGATGATCAACAAATTTCTTAAGAACTTAAACTTTGAAGGTCACTGTAAGCAGCGCATTAGCGTGTTCCTTCAAAATTTTGAAAGAATGACAGCTCTTAACAAAGAACTTGATTATTTTAAACGAGACTCTATGGAAGGAATTATTATTATTACAATTATGTACTGGAAAAGTGCTAAACCCATCAAGGCCATATAGTGCCAGGAGAATAAAAGGTAATTAGACTCAAGCTGAGGAAATGGAGGGAAGCTCCAATTCTTGCAATCAAAACCCCTTCCCCTTCCTCCATAGAAGAGATTTTTCATTACCATTCCTCGCTACAGTTACCATATCTTATGGAGAACAAGACGCTCCAGTGTCGAGGATGCCCTCCCCCCATCCCCCAATTCCTGCTGGCTAAAAAAAAAAACTGCTTTAACCTCCAAGATTCTGGGTAAATTTTCGAGGCTTAAATTTGGAAAAAAAATTGTCTTCGATGCTGTAAAATACAGTACTTATACCCCCATTTAACAGACTACCACAATGGGAGAGAACTGTCAAAGTGTCCATTAAATCAGAATGTTAAAATATAGTACAAGCGTACTCAAGTATTCTACTGTATAGCTATTATAGTACTATTCACACAATTTAGTTATAATGCAATAAACACTGACAATGAAGGAGTTAAAAATATGATTTCCCAAGTGAATTTTTCACATTTTCTTTTTCTTTCTTTTTTTTGGGTCACCCTGCCTCGGTGGGAGACGACCGACTTGTTGAAAAAAAAAAAAAAGTATGTTATATCAAGGTTTTATTATACCTTATTTTATAAGCATATTCTTTGAAGCAACTACACCTTGCTAAGAGTACAGAATATAGAATGTCAAGTATTACTGACAAGTATGGTAGAAAAAGACTTTGTGCACAGCAAACCTTGACCACAGATGTTTCAGTCTGGGTAGAACTTGATTAAGCTCTATCAAGAGCAATAAAACCATTCTAAAAAGCACCTCAAAATCACCATATAAAAAAACACAAAGTCAGATTTTTTCCTTTTCCCATTATGCACTGCATGGGGCAGGATTATTTTTTATATGCACTCACCACACAGACCCTCTCTCTCTGTCTAGATCAAAATTTACCACTCACAGCATATCTGAGAAACCTGTGCTTAAAAGTTGGATCTACGTCAGTGATTGTTGGTGTCAATAATGTAGATGTATGTTAGAGAAAGTGAAAGAGCTAAGTAAATTAACAACCTTTTATGACAATAAATGCTTACCTGGGTGTTCCCTTGGTACATGTAGTCTAAAAAGACAGCTCATTTCACGGAAACTGGCTCCTCGTAGAACTATCATTGGATATTGATCTGAAGTCACTTCTACAGCACTCTTTGAAAATATGCAGGGTGGAAGCTAAGATAGCTTGATGGGCTTTCATAACAAAAAACCATCTTCAGTAACCAGTGTGACATCACAAAAATGTTCCTCCAACCTCTGTAGTGTAAGGATCTGTTGTAAAGATTCAGTTATTAGCATGAATGGGTAAGACAAAATAAACTTCCATACACTAAGTTTGTAAAAGTACTTTTAATGCAGTAAGTTTAACTAATAGAAATAGCTTTTAAACAAGATTATGCATTTTTAAGACACCAGCCATCTCCCACTGAGGTAGGGTGACCAAAATAAGAAAAACCTTTTCACTGTCATTCATTCAATAACTGTCTTACCAAAAGGGTGTTGACATCGCAGCTCAGGTGACATTCTGACTGCATCATTCCTACCCCTCCTTCAGAGTGTAGGCACCACACTTCCCACTCCAGGACTTAAGTCCTGCTAAATCTCTTGATAAATGTTACTTTGCTTACAAGCCAACACCACTTCAAATCATAAAAACCACTGGCCTCTACTCACTCCCATCTAACACAGCCATGATGGATGTCCAAGAATCCCTTACCCCTTCCCTTCAAGCCTTCCGGGGGAAAAACCCCTAACTCTCCATTCCTGATTTACAGATTTCTTGGTGACCCCATTTTGCTCATCCTCTTTAAATGTATAAACCATCTCAACAACCCTCCTCCACCCTCTGAGTAATCCTTTAGTAACACTTTTTAAATACCAAGTTCTAAATTCTCTGAAAAATGTTTACACCCCACACTGCCCTCAAAATATCGCTACCTTCAGACTCTACCCCCATTTAAAATACATGCTTCACAGCATGATCCACCTTTTTTTCTCTCCTCATCAATTCTATAGTTGCCTCATCTCTCAGACCAATCTGTCACGTCCACTCCAAATACCTTAACACATCTGCTTTCTTCATATGCCCTCCAATCTGATATCCAATATTTTATTGCCTAGATTATATATTATACTCATTACCTTGTTTTTTCCATGCTCACTTTTAATTTCCTGTTTAACATATCCTCCCAAAAATTTTTATACAGTACCAACTTTTGGAAACTTCTCAGAATATCCCAGGAGAACAGCGTTTTATCAGCAAAAGTAGCTGTGCTAACTCCTCATTGTATAAGATTCTTTTTGCTTCTTTGGATGTTTATCCATACTGTTCCATAAAGGAGACTGAGGTGTATAAGCTTACCAAAATTAACTGGCCACTATATATAATAACTATGGACATGGTATGGGGAAAAAAGTGAGCCCCTTTCTTTAGGAAATATTTTGAAAATAAGCTCGACTCTTATTTACAGTTTTACACTGTTTTAAAGCACAATATATTATCTTATGCTAAATAGGATTAAAATTTCTTAAATTTAATGGGAAAGGAATGCATAGCCATCTAAATTTCCCAATAACACTTAACCTTAGACACATGTTGCATGTGGGCTTCCAACGGAAAACGAAGCTGTTGTCAGTGCTAACTGCAGCCATGTCTACTGAAATATATGCATTATAATCAAAATTTTGGAGCAAATACACCAGGGTATTCATTAATTATACTACAAAATCATTACATAATACTTAAAAACAGTTAACTAATCCCTAGGTACATACTTACTGCTAGATGAACAATGACAGGAGCAAAAGGAGACAGAAGTCTCTTAGGTGACAAAAGGCGAGACAAAAGGAGCCTTCGTTTTACCTTGCCTAGAAAACAAACCCAGGTCCTATTTGCAAGCCCAAATCCTCATTATTGGCCCTAATCACCATAAAGAAAAAAACCCC